CTCTCTATATCTATCAATTTATAGCTTTTTACTTTTTATAAACAATTTTTCAATATATACACATGAATGGAATAAATTGTTAATTTATTGTGAGCTAAAATCGCCAAATGTGTAATATGATGATTCGCTTCTAATTTAAAATACTACACAATAAGAAAAGAGAAAAGAAGAAAGCGATTTACGCAACTTTCTTAACGTTCTAAAAATATAAAGGTTTGAGAAAACAAGCGAGAAAGCATGTGAATAGGCTTTCTCAAAATGTTGCTTCATTTATACATATACATAAGTTTACTTGATCCGTTTCCAAAATACTTTGCAGAATCGATCGTTTCTGTTACTTTTTTTTAAAAGAGTGTTTATTAAGAGAGTATGCGAACGTGGTTCCTTATTCTTGTGCTCCTCTTTTCTTTTTTAATATACTATCTTTTTCTACCCGGGAAAAGTTTTTTTATATATAATATATATATATATAAATAATTGTATAATTATATATATAATCGTAAAATTACATGTGAAATATGTCCATTATTATATATAATTATATAAATTTATATATAAATTATAATTACATCATCAAATTATATATGAAACATGTATATATATATATATATATATATATATATATATATGAAGAAATACTTATTTGTTATATATAAATTTATATAATTATATATAAAAAGCACTTTTATCTAATTATGTATGGATATATTTCATATATAATTTTATACATTTTTATATAATTTTATATTGTTATATATAAAAAATTTGTTCCCGGGTTATCGTTCTCGATTTTATTTCTTTCTCTCAATTTTTTATACCCACGTGCTTAATGTAATGACATTTATATCATCCGCGTTCTTAAAGAATACTCTCCAAAAGAGCGAATTAATAGATAAACGGAGATTAAAGATAACAAACAGGGTAAACGATCTGCGTATATTTTTACTTTGTTCTATATTTCAAACTATATATTCCGTAATCGATTTAGACAGCTTTCCATTTTTCTTACGCGTAGGAAGAAACAATCATTGCGTAAAAAAAGAGTACTTTTTTCTTCGAGTACGAAACTTTCTCGAGCGAAAACGAATATAGTTTTCCGGTTTGCACGAACGCGCCTCGTGGGCTTATTGTTAGATAAAGGTCGAAGTTTACGCCACGATACGATAATATATAGGTACATATCGAAATGCCCTATATCGAGATTGCCTATCGGCAATCCGCACGGCATACACATTTCAATTCAATGCAAATATGTAAATACGATCTATCATAGCGTGGGAATTTGTCGATCGCGTATCCCCGAATCAAACCGGTAATGGCACATATCAGGTTTTCACCATTTGTGCATTTCGCACAATTCTCAACTTTCCGCTATCGTATGACGTACCAAGATATACGCAGCTGTCGTTGGTATTAATATTAATTTGCATCGTGCTAAATTTATAATAATGTAGGTACATAAAAATATGAGTATATATATTATGTATACATGTAGAAAAAAATATTATATATAAGCCATACAAAAAATCTGACACATTATTCCTATATAAATAAGATTTTATTAAATAGTACAATAAAAATATATCAAAAAAATCCTCTGTAGATTACTGAGTAAATATCCACGGAAATAACTCATTGAATTGCCAAGAAATGATTTTTCAGAGCGACAGAAAAAGATCTGACATATAGAAAGTATATGTCCCGGGAAAAAAATTTATATATAGTTATATATAAATAATTGTATAATTATATATATAATCGTAAAATTATATGTAAAATCCGTCCATTTTTATACATAATTATATAAATTTATATATAAATTATATAGATTCATATATAATCATGAATTATAGGTATATGAAACATATACATATATTTATTAATATATATGAAGAAATACTTATTTATTATATATATAAATTTATAAAATTATATATAAAAAGCTTTGATCTAATTATGTATGAACATATTTAATATATAATTTTGCAATTATATGTATAATTTTATATATTTCTATATAATTTAATATTATATAAAAAATTTTTTATCGGAGTATATGACGTGAAAAGTGTATCCTGAGTATATATTTTCAATGAACACCCTTTATTTCAAACAGACTAGAAATAAAACGGTGAATTAAATTAAATGGCGCATTGAATGAAATTAAAACCGATAATAAGCGCACGTTTTCGTGTTTACCGAATTCCTGTTGTGACATTGTGCAACATCGTCAGCTGAGCTTGACCGCAGTTTGGATGCATCTCAATGACTTTGCATAGTTACAGTGAGCCCAGAATCATTTGCTTGTCGCAATACATACACACACAATATATATATATATATATATATATATATGCATACATAATTCGGTCAGCGAATGACGCCAGTTTATCAGACAGCTGCCAGACAAAGCCGCGTCGCAGTTACGTCTAATTTCGGAAATTCGCGATGCATCCTATACAGCGCAAATTTGTTGTACAATGTTCAAAGATAAAGAATCGATAAAGACGCGAAAATAGCGTCGAGCAACAGCGAGTTTAAAAAGAGAGAAAGTGGAAACTCCAGATCCCCGATGCGTCACGTGGAATTTCTCGATTCCTGAGCTTTCGAGGGAATGTGCCGTCTCGGGACTTTAAATTGCTCTCGTCGTCGATCAAATGTTAAACCTCGTCGAAAAACTTCGGCAAAGCCGATATAAATCCTTGATCCTTCGGAATCTCGAATTGATTCGAGAACGTCGCGATTTTTTCGTCGAAGATCAAAGAAGTATAAAGAAGATACTTAAAGTGCATTAAAAACATTTTTTTAACTTGACTAAATTACTATTTTGTTAATTGAACATGTGTATTAATATTTCAAATATACTTTGTTAGATCTAATATGTTATATTTAATTTAAATATTTTTATATGTTCAATTAACAAAATAATATTTAAGTTGAAAAGTTTAATCAATTTAAAAAATTTTTCAGGGTGTAAAAATATCGATTGATTAAATTCTCACTTTCTATCCTAGTAAAAATTTTTTTATATTTAACAACATAATATTTCTATATAAAAATTATATAAAAATAAAAATTGTTGTTCTATACAATACACGAGCGAATAGAAATTTTAATTGATATTATATAAAAATATATAAAATTATACATATAATCGCAAAATTATATATGAAATATGTCCATACATAATTAAATAAAAGTGCATATATAATTATATAAATGTATATATATACTATATATAATAAATATAAGTGTTTCTTCATATATATAAATATATATGTTTCATATATAATTTGACATGATTATATATGAACCCTTATAATTTATATATAAATTTATATAATTATGTATAAAAATGGACATAATTTTACGATTATATGTATAATTATACAATTATTTATATATAAAAATTTTTTTACCGGGATTAAATATTCATAACAATTCAAATTACGTAAACTTTAACAATGTTCAAACTATTGATTCCATTAAAACAAATATATGTTGAATCAATTATTGTCACTTATATTAATTTCGCGAAAGCTCTTCTGGAAATGTTCTGTTAACATATACTCGCATGTTGGTTCAATCTATTGTTACAAGTCATAGAATGTGATATCTATTGAAGTAAAGGCACAGTAGCTGAAATAAATAAGGTCGGTCTCTCTCTCTCTCTCTCTCTCTCTCTCTACGCTTTGCTAATGTGAAATCTCCATGATGTAACCGCACAAATTACCCGAATATACGATTTCACCGTCGTCACACGCTTACACGCCTCGCTATTAATGAACTCATAATGCGTGATAACAACACACTCATGTACGAGGAAACGTAACATGTGCTGCTGCTTGTGTCATGCATCACATATGTCTCTGACGTTAACGTACGTAACATGTATACATGTTCTGATGTGATGAGTTCCCTCATGATATGATACAAGAGCTCCTGTTTCGCTGGGAAGATGAGTCAGAGCAAGACTGACGATTAAGCATTAATTACTTAATCCTAGAATTCGCGTTCTAAATAAAGATGTATTGGTCTGAGAGAACAAATGCTTCTCTGCATCGCATTATTAAGAATTTATGATAAGGATTTTTAGCAATAAGACGTAATAAGAATTTATGCGCCTCTATTATGCAAAGGAACGATCCTGCGAGACTTTCAAAATAGAGTTGCAAAGATTTCTACACACAGACTTCTTGTATTTTTATTTTAGATAAAAGTGTTTGTAATAAAAAATAATAAAGAAAGAAAAGGAAAATAAATTACATATAAAGAAATCAAACATTATTTAATTAAGAAACTGTTAAGCGTGTGACGATGTATATAACTATTTTTAACGAAACTGTTTATTTTTAAAAATATATAACAAGAATAAATGTTAGCAATAAAAGAGTTAGTAATTAAATCTAAAGAATCAATTCAGATTGCTGTGTAAAAACACGCAATATTGTGTTGTCACATTATGAATTAAAATAAAAAATATCTTGTTTTTCAGTAGACTAATTTTAGAAACAATCTCACAAAATATCGGGCCGATTTCAGCAATTGTGAATTTATAATTATAATAACTAATTTTCAATACCTTTAATTCATCATAGTGCGATTTAATAAAAGAAGAAAATTAATCCAAAAGACTTGGATTCAATTTTAAAATCCTCATACAATATACAAATATTAAAATATATCTCCTTATAATAATACAAATAATTTATTTAATTTATTTAATCATTTAATTTATTTAATTTATACACTAAAAAAACGACTAAATTAATACATATTTAATTCAATACTGTCAAATAAATCATTTATTTGAAACAAATAAATATGTTTTATATCAAATAAATGATTTATTTGGCAGTATGGAAATAAATACTTGTAAGAATTAACTAAATTTTTTTTTAAGAGTGTAACAATATGAAAATTATTAATTATAATCGGATCGCGCGCGATTCGCGAAAGTGAAGTTCAAAGAGTTCTTTCGGCAAATCTCTGGTCCTTACCTTCGCTAGGGTCGCTCGTCGACGGTATCCTCAAACTGCTGCCTCGTCGCAGATTGACGGTCGTGGCTCCTACTTCCGGTTCCAACATTTTGGCGCTGCTCATCGATCCCGCCAGATTTCGCGAAACGAGAGAGGGAAGGAAAATTCGCGCGATAACTCGAAGACGAAACAACTCGGCCGAACTCGAGTCGACGCTGGTCAACAGCTGTTCACCAGCGTCTCTTATGCTTGGACGAAGAATTCCTGAGGATGTCTATCGACCGGCCACGTCGTCTATAATGCGAATCGGCCAATGGCAGTTACAAGACAGAGTCACGTGCGGTTGCTTTCGACAGAATGTCCTCGGTGATCCCTCGTCAATACTACCTTGCGATTTGCTCGAGGTGGCGTTTCGCGACGCGCGCGGATTTTCCACCTAAAATCTCTCTATCGAGAGATCGATATATATTCATGATTGGTAGCTGTCAGTCGTGACGCGTGTTGGACTTTTTCATTCGCGGATATTCGCGAAATTATTCGCGAGAAGAAGCGAGATCTTTTCTTCCTTCATTCCCTCCCATCCTCATACGCTGATTTATCTCTCGCCAGTTGAATTAGAGACCCCGAGATCAATTTTCGCGCGCGAGATCAACCGAGACCCTGAATCACTCTCGGAGCGACGATCTGATATTATCTGGATTATTGAGAATAAATTATGTTAGCTAGGATGAATGTAGCAATGAACTAGGGTAGACGTATCAATAAATGATCAGTGATAAGCTCTATTCTTGTTATTGATTGTCATATCAAATCTATATTTATTCTTCTGTTGGAAAAAATAACGCGATTACTTCGATCAGTAGTCTCAGATACTTTAGATTATTTTATTACATTATAAGTATAAATTCATTCAATAATTACACTTTTATATATTATTTTTTGAAATTTTACATTTTAAATTAATATTCATTCTCGATTTAATTATCCAATATATTTGTTTGTATAAAAATTTAACTGTACCTAATTTAAAATTTTAATCAACAAACTTAAATATAGACATAAAAATAATATTTAGAATTAAATTTGTTGCTAAATATTTCATAAATATGCTAATTATTATTTCTCGAATATATATAACTTTAACAAGATATATTATTTGATTACATTCTCTTTAATCGATCATTCATGGATATACCTGTCCCGCACTGTAAAAAAATATGTAAAATTGTATAATAATAAATGTAAAATTGCACGATAAATGTAGATATTTCATAATTTATCGTTAATATTTTCATAATTAATTTTACATTTATTATTTATGTAATTTTACATATTTTTTTACAGTGTGCTATATCGCTATTATCGCTAAACAATCTTTCGATTATAATTTTCAATTAAAAAAATTAATTTAATTTGTTTACCTAAATGTAATATCACGAATTATAGAACGAAGATTGTTGGCGATGATCTCTTCACATTTT